ATTAACCACTAGTAAAATTTGTTTTACCAACATCTATATTATATCTAGTGGTCCAATACTCATATAATAATATTTTAGTTTCCCCATCATTTTTTAGAACTCATCAAATATTTATTTACTGCTAATCTTAAACAAGTTAAAAGACTTTTGAATATAATTATTTAATAAATTATAGAAATTTGAGGAATCTAATTTGAATATTTGATCCTGCTTGCATCTTGAAAATAAATTGGTCAATGATGAGAGGTTGCTGAAGCAATTGGTCAGATGTAGAAAATATAATATTATACATAAAGGGTGGTTTGTTTGCTTACCGTTACTCATTGATTTGGGTTGATCTGCAAGCAACTGGGATTTCGATTTCCGAATCATATTTATTCCTATTATACACTTAGTCTCACCATAAAAAATAATTTATTTTTTTAATAAATTTAAGTGAATATAAAATAATATATGCTTAAAGACTCAATCTTTTGATAATGAATTCTTCTACTTTTATATACACAGTATTTGAATTCAATACTTTAAAAAATAATAATAAATCTATTAACCGCTAAAATTATTCTATTCGTCAAAATATAACATTTGTTAGTGTGATGACAACCTTTGAAAGAAATGCTATATTTTGAAAATGATGCATTTTGAAATTTCCTCAAAAACTTTTCGTCCAAATGCATTACATGTCAACGTGACAACATCCTTTAATGGGAAATGGATAATAAGTGGACGTATGTAATACTATACTTTTGGATATGTCTTCATAAGTCTTCATTACATGAATCTTTTTATGTTTAATTTGATCTTCACACATTTTTTTACTTGTCAGAGTCCCTAAAAGTTTGCATCCTCCGATCACAAACTATTATAATGTGTCAACGAGATCTAAATAAGACATTTGACAAGTTCACGTGATTTATCAAGATGAAATCGAAGGTTTAACTATCAGATCATTTTAACTTGATCATCATAAAAATAATAATAATCACGACCCTAGGACTGACTCACACTAAAAATCACTATAAATATCCTCAATTGATATTGAAAAGGGGGATAGACTTACCAAAACCGATTGGTCCTCTTTCTTCTTCCTTATATTAATTCATTCATTCTTTCTTTTAAACACCGACCAATAATCATTCTCTCATTAGTCGCAATTATTTATTCAAATTATAAAAGGTGAACCGTTAACAAACACAATTTGTTTTATCAATAATATATATATATATATATATTAATGAAGATACTATTTTAGATCGATATGATAAATATATTGATTTAAAAAATATATGGATAACAAATACAGATAATAGATATTATTGCTTTGCATATTAATGGTTAGGTCTTAGATTATTGAAAAAAAAATATTTATTTTGGATTAGCTGTCAAAATTATTCAAAGATTTGTACTAAACAAATTCATTTTTCTAACGAACATTATCTTCAAACGATATAGTTGTTGAATATACCTTAAAGAACAGCTCAAATATAAATAAATAATTATTCTTTTCTGAATTGTTAATTGGTATCTGATTTAATGTAGAAATACATTATGTGAGCAATCCTTCCGGTCCAATTTATTTCATTCGCAAACGTAAAGATTAAAATTTCTGACATTGTTTTAAAATTTTAATATTTTATCCTACTAAACCAATTAGTTGTTAGTGAAATAAACAATTATTGATTCTAATCCGTGTGATTTGAAATTGAACCTATGAATATTATTAACAAATTAATTAAAATATATTTTATTAAGAAATTAATTAAAATATTGAATTCAAATCACGTCTAGGATAGACATATTATTGAGTCAGTTAGTCTAGGGCATACAATTTGTTTTTACCCTCTCGGTTCTAAGACTTTGCATTAACTAATCTGGATCGATCCGTATCGCACGCCTGACTTTGGCAAGTGAGTCTCTCAATAGGGATTTTCTGCATACCCAATGACTCGAATTCGAGACCTTGCTTAAGCGGTATCAAGTTGCTTACCACTTTAACCAACCCATGTCGATTAGGACAGACATATTTTATTAATATAAATTATATAATTTATAAGAAATTTATTTTATTTATTAGTGATATAATTTTATTTTATTTTTTTACAAATGAGATTCTAAAATAGTCATATGTTCTATTTAATTAGAAGTTAGAGTTTATGATTTATAGTTAAAATTCAGGACCACAGTCTATAATTAAAAGTTATGTTTAGATTTTAGGGTTTATTATATTCAAATAGGACACGTAATAATATTAGAATCCAGTGAGTTTTCTTTTAGTGTTAGTCAAAGATTTGGACCGGAGATATTAAATCAGGTAAAATATGCAAATAGTTCTATGATTGTCATTGTTTTATCGATTCACTCAATTATTAAAAGTTATAAAATAATTTTCATATTATAAAACGTTATTTTTTTAGTTATTCAACTATTAAAAGTTACAAAATTGTTACTTGACTACATGTTACCGTTTTATTGAGTCTTTCGATTATTAAAAGTTATAATATAATATCAAATGATCAAATATAATCTATACAAAATAATATCAAATGTATCAAATAAGATTCTAATTAAGTGAAAGTGAATGTTGTTCTCTTAAGATATATTGGGTTTGAATAACTACGTCTGCAAAGTGTGTGTTGTCAAGTGATTAAGAAATTCCTCAACATATACAACTCTTAGAATCATCATAAACAAATAAAAAAATATGATACGAAATCATTCGGTCATCCCTCCGTCTAAAATGATAAAATTATTCTTTAAGTTTATTCAAAGATAATAAAATTTGATTTAGTCCTTTAAAAAAATTATAACGTTACAAGTTAGTACAATCATAAATTACATTTTAACTCGACTCTCATACAAGTTATAATTCAATTCCGAGCCTTAACAATATTTTATTGCTTTGTTTTGGACATCAAATTACCAATTTATTACCTAAAAATGAGAGAATTAGTGAAGCGATATATATTTTTTTAACAATTTGATATAAATACGTATATTACTCAAGCTTTTCTTTACTCATAAATGAGAGGATTTTAAACACGTAAACATATTTAATCTTGTATTCTCTTGTTTATTGTACCAATAATAATATTAACTGATTAAACCCGATCAGTTAATGATGTAATATTTTAGGTCAATGCAACACTTGTGTGACTTACGGGACACTACTACTAAAGCATAGCTAGTTGGAGCATGCTCCTTATTCTTTTCATATGTGTCCTTTTTAAGAAGCAAAAAGGTCAATGCCATTGTTTCAACGGCATCTTTGCAATCTTTTCTGTTGTCCCCATAAACTATTAATTTCTCCCACTCGCATTCCAATGCACGTGTTCTTATTTCCAACTTGTTATGGAGTTTTTATTAATAAAATATCCAAATATAAACATTTATAGAAACCTTTTAATATATATATATATAAATCAAATATTTATCTTAAATTGATTGATTATAATGTATTATTTGTTTGAATTTTTTTAATTTATTGACAATGCACACACGTCTTGCAGATAAAATTATTTAAACTTGGACTTCTAGAAATAATAATACTTCATTTTACCACTAAAGTCGATTAATGAATTCACATTTGATAAAAAATTTAAGTTTTATATTTAGTTAACAAATCTTATTATTATATATATATATATATATAATAGAAAATTATAAGTGTGTAGAGAGAGAAGGGAAGTCAAGCAAACCATTACATACTCTGTAAATTGTAGCGGGCAAGCAACCCTGTGAGTTTTTGCATGCCTTTTGTGTTTTTACCTGCCTTTCTAAAATTGAATCATATTCGTTGTTCATTTATTATTAAAAATGATTTTTTTTAGTAACATTTTTAGATATAAAAAATAATTTTAAACCAAACTTAATCTGAATAACAAAATAAAAATAAAAATCCAAATCATTAAAACGAACATACATTGTGATAGTATAGTTATATATATTATAATATAAAAGAAAGATTAATTGATACACATCCAATATAGAATTTAAATTATATAATTTCATTTAGTTAAATTCAATTTTTAATTATTGGCCGAAAGCGAGGAGGGAACTTTCAACTCGTGTGTAACATTTGACCTAACAACATTGATTTTGGAAGAATGTTCATTTTGTCATTTTATCACCTTATCAAAGTACATACATTTCATCTATCATGTTTAGAAATGATCCAAAAATAATTTTTAGAATATATTTAAATGTATTAACAATATAATTTCTATGTATTAAATAAATACAAACAAATTTTAAGTGTAATTATAGATTTAAAAATACTTTTTAAAAGATATATATATATATATATATATATATATTAATAATAAAAAGAAATTTGCATAGGGTAGACACAATAAAATTTCAAGATAATTAAAAATTCAAATCTCAAAGTAGATGCAAATCATCATTGCATAACTTTATACCCGCTATTGTCAAAATAGACATCGTCAATTAAATAGATAACTAATAAAAGAACAATTTGATTTTTAAGGTAAACACATACCTACCTTACCCTCTACTGCTTATGCATCTACACATAACAATTAATACTTAGGGCCAATTGTAACCGTGACCACTTAATCACTAAGACATTTTAATTTAACCATAAATCTTTTAATTTTATTAATCATATTATATTACTACTTAAATAATATTAATTAAATTATTTATCATTACCTTTAATAGAAAAACTAATGCGAAAGTTAATAAAATATATAATTATATATTTGACTCAAACTAAAACCTTACTTAAACGATATCAGACTGCTTACCACTCAACTAACCCCTATTAGTACATATTTGATTATTAATACTTATATATTTTACCAATTTAATCATAATTTTATTCTAATTAAATAATTATAAGAAACCTTAAACTAATTGATAGAATAGATAAATATATAATTAAATCAATTTTCCGTCAAATGACAGGTGACCAAGTGGCATTATGAGCGTGATTTAGGCAAAATTAAGGCGTGAAACATTCATCCAGTAAGAAATAAGATGACAAAAGGAACGGATTCTCTAATTTAATTAAACTTAGTCAAATCCTACCATTCATAGAAATTCCAGAATTCTACCTGATTCCACTGATTAGATAACAAGTACCTATGCATCAATACTGCTCTCGCCTAAAACTTGACATATCATAACGACATCGCTTAATAGCGGTCAAAGGAAGACGGGCGACCTCCCATGCCTGGACGATCGTAAGGGCCAGCCCTGTTACGGTAGCCTCTTCCATCATTCCGTGCTGGCCCTCCGCTTCCATACCTATCGTTGCCTCTTGGAGCAACATCTCGAAACCCCCTCTCTTTGCCGTAGCCATTTTGAGGGAAACGATCTGAACCACCATAGCGATCAGCAAATCGATCTCCACTAGGCGGATACCTGCATTGTTTATGGAAACATTAGAATCAATATGACAGACATGTCAAACCTGAGCAGTAACATTAGGTGAAACCTTATACCTGTCGCTAATGAAACGATCTCTGCTGTCAAAACGGTCCCTATCTCCAAATTGTCCACCGTCATAACGGTCATCAATGTACCGATCACCACGGTCATCTGCTCCACCATATCTTGAACGTGAAGAAAACATGCCGCCACTCACACCTCGGCCACCACCAGCTGAAGGGCAATCACGAGCCCAGTGCCCAAAGCGCCCACATTTGAAGCATTCATCTTGTGCAACAGGCCTGTCTCCACCTGCATAGCGACCCCTGACACTCGTTGGGTAACCTCCTCTATAGCCATGATCAAGATCATCACCCATCTTGGGTTGAGCCTTGTTCACCGAGATAGTGCGCTCCCCTAACTCTCGCCCATGCATCTCCCTGATAGCTTCATCCATGGACCGGCGATCTGCGAATGTAATAAATCCAAATCCACGAGATCGCCCTGTATCTCTCTCCACCATGATCTACAGACATCCACACACAAATTTCTCATCCCAAAAATAAAAGAACATGTAAAGCAAGTACTAAACACTGCAAACAGATTTATACAGCATCATAAACATTTTAACATAGAAATAAACGAGCAAGTATAGTGCATCATTTTGTACATTAAAGGATAGAAGTGACATGGATACAATACCCTACAGAAAATATTAAAAGCTGTTAATCAAAAGTCTTGTAGCTCGTGATGAATTCAAGCTCTGCATCTTGAGACATTAAATAAATTTGATGAACGTCACTCTAGACAATTATGTCTCCAAACTACTGTGCATGTATTACTTATATCACCAGACAGTTCGATTTTACTATAAAAAGAAAAAAGTTGATGTGTGGAACATGGTGCTACAGGGAAAATTGCAAAATTCATAAAACAAACTATATTTCCAGTAAAACTTCATCAACTTCATCTATGGAAATGAAATAAATGAACTTTGAAAACACAGGAATAAAGAAGGAAGCATAACTTACTTTCTCCTTGTTATAGTTGGTTATGCATTGATATGATATTGCAAAGATTCTTAAAACAGAACAGAAGATACCGAAAAATTTTCCCTTTTCTGATCTGGTAAATAAAACTCTGACCTTATCTCATTTCCCACAGAAACCGGTTTATGCAGAACTTATCAAAATCTCCATATGGTCAAACAAATGAATTCTTTCTGATTTCTGTTTCTCTTCCTCTTTATTGTTACATTTCCACCAGTCAGTGTTAACAAACAATAGACACTGGTTCTACGTTGGGCTAATATCAATCCTTACCAAGCCAAAAACATTTTCCATATCAATCAGTTTGTCTGCAAGCTATAAATAACATGAGAAGCAGACATCATCAAGCTTTATATGCTGAATACTGTACTTCTCATGTCCATGTGCAATCAGTTAGCGAGGAGAGATTCAAAAGCGGGTTCAGCCAACTGCCACAAATAGGGAGTCCAATATCTTACAGTTTCAGCATTCTTGGTCAACACAACTGGATAAATTTGAAAAGGCTCTCACTATAAAGTCTGAGGGAGATATCACAGTCACTACAATGCTGTAAGCTTCCAAAACTAACTGCTATAGAGAGTGCTTGATATATTATCTACCATACAGATGCAGTCCCGGGAAACGAACAATTTTGGATAACAAATTGGGGCTTGCTAAACTGATTGGCTGAACGGTGGTACAAAATTGAAAGACTGAGATTTGAACTTGCTATACAAATATCCATGGATCAAGTCTTCAGATTGATCAGACATTAGGTTTTAAACTAGTTTAGAATGTTAGGTAACAGGAAAAAGGAAATCAACAAAAAGAATCTCAAAATAAGGCCAAAAAAAGGTATCTTAAGCCACAGTCTAACCACATAAGCCGAGATGATATCAATCCCATCCAAAAGAACTAACTCTGCCCCAAGGAAAACTACATAATCATGCCGGAGTACATACAGCTGCTCTTTGCCATCATTTCGAACATAGTGGCCAAGAAAACCGGTGCTAATGAGTAGAGACAAAAGTCGTAGACTCCACAACAACAAAAGAAAAGGCCAGGCACAGAGAATTCTACAGCAACACAAGGCTCCACAAGTAAAAAAGGTCTATAAATGCTTTCATACACCCTAGAAAAGGAAAAGATATCTTGAAAAAACTCTGATCCTCTTAGAAGGAAAATAGACACAAATTGATGACTCATTTGTCGTCCATGAAAAAGAAAAACTATGGTCTTGCCATATAATTTTCGGAACGAACTCCACAAAAGCTTCACTGCGATGCTTACCACAAACAGCCACTTAAAAAGCAATGCATATTTCTTTAGACAGTCTCAATGGTCATTTCGGGCTCTTCAAAAGTAAAATTCACAGATAAAGCAAAAAACTCAAGGCTTGTTCCTGCTTGCAAGGATCCTTTTATCCCAACAAAACCGTTTCTCCATAACACAATTTAAAACAATCAATTTAAACTTCATCTCCCTTCCATGAAGCAAACATCTTAATTAAACAAATACTTTGTGCTTGAGCATTATAAATAGCTTTACTTTGCACTTCAACAACTTGATGCAGTCACCCTGACCAAAAACACTCCCTAAAAATCCCATCCACAGCATGTTGAAATGTTCTTAAAGCAATTCAAAAAGACAAGAAACAAGAATAATTAATTTGATGAGGAAGAGAGAAACAAGAAAACTGAACACATTATTTTCAACCCTAATATCATATAAGCTTGTAAAACATTGATGCAATTTCTCTCTATCATCAACAAATATGTAAAACATAGACACGAAACTTGCAGCAGTGCATGTTTTAAGTATCATAGCAAATTCGGCACAATATTGCCGGATAAATGTCAATAATGTCATAATAGAAGCTTCACTTCTCCATAATTAATCCATTCTGTTTTTCATTTTAATCCATTTGCAAAAGCATATAATATTCGTCCAAAATTGACGGCAAATTCAACAACCCATTTCCCACAAAGTTCACAATTTGTAAATCACCCACCAATTACTCTTATATAATTCTCCAGGCAACCAAACATAACATGGAAAGGGGGAAAACAAAGAAAAAAACAATTTATTTAATATTTGAAACCCCAAAAAAGAAGGGTACCTGAGATTCAAGAATTTTCCCGAACTGACTAAACGCATGCTCAAGCTGTCGTTCGGTGACATCCCATGATAATCCTCCGACAAATATTCGCTTCTCTTCTTTCCCTGCCATTCTTTACAAACAATTCCCTTCCTTCTTTAAAAACCTGCATACGAGAGAAAATAAAGCCAAAAAAGGATTAAAAAATTAAAAATATTTACCCGTTTCATGAGAAAAAGAATCCAAAGTTTTCAGAGAAAGTTTATTTTTTGTGTTTACCTCTCCTCTTTTGGCTTCGCAGTACCGTGATTATCTTTGGGGGGAGGGGGTATTTTATGTGAGATAAACCCTAGATAATTTCAAAGAGACGTGATTTTTTTTAGCTGATGGATTGTTGTACCGTACATTCTGGGAAGTGGGCCTTAAGGTACAACACTTGTGAGCTGAAGATAGGGCCTTTATGTTCTGGACTGGTCCATTCATAAGTTCAGTGAAATATTTTTTATTGTTATTTATTACTGATTTTTTAATAATCATAAATGAAAACGCTAAAGAAATTATTATTATTCCGGTGATGGAAAATACATTTTTTTTAGACTTAATTTAGGGGGAAAATGAGGAAAAAATTAGAAAAATAAGGATCTTCTTTAAATTAATCAGAAAAATAAATTATTTTGAAATAGTGTGATTAGAGGGGAATCGGGTCATTCGAATTGAATTAAGGTTAGATTATTTAAGTCAAATTATTTTGAGTTTAGACTATTATTGATTTTGATTCAATTTGGATTTGATCGGATTTGATTTAGATTTAGATTTAGTTCAAATTTATAATAAGTGAAGTCGAGTTGGATATTGGGTTGGATTCATACTTAATCATTTAATGTTCGGGTCAGTCCAATATCATATCAAATTAATCGATTTTTTATTCAAATCAATATCTAATCAGTCGATTTCCAGATCGGATCAATATTCAATCGATCGATTTTCGAGTTGGGTTAATATCAAATTGAGTAGTTTTCTATTCGGATCACCCTTTGAATCTTTGGATCAATTGGGGTTGAGTTGGGTATGATTCCAATCGAGATAAAAATTAGATAATGTAAAATATAATGGTTAAGTAGTAGTATAATAATATTGAATCATTATACTATTATCAAATCTAGTGATTAATTATTAGTACAATAAAACATACATTATTTTACTATTTATCATACATTATTTTACTATTAATCATATTGCTAAAATAAAGATAATAATAAAAATAAATTATTCGATCCGAATCAAATTATATAGTAGTGTATATCGGTCCAACAAAAATTCGATTCGATTTTGATTCAATTAAATTTGTTTCAAATTTTGAATCAAATTTAGATTATCATGTTCAGCCCCATATCGGATCTCGGACCGAGTAATTCAATTTCTAGCAATCGAGTTTAGGTCAAATTTATCAAATCCAGGTGTAAGTGTAATGCATGAAATCAATAATTGATCGATCCGATAAGACCGGTTAAACCAGTAAAAATTAAGTTTGACCGGTCCGGTTGTGTCATCGGTTTGACCTTCACTCCCCATTTTTTATCCTTGCCTAAAAGGAATACCTACCAGGATTCCAATTTAAAAAGTTTGATTGAGAAAGAGAATGATGATAAATGGCATTTTGATTAACTGTAGTTCAATTTTACATTTTGCAATATCAAACAATTACATGATGGAATACACATATAAACAATTACATGATTGAAAAATGTTTATTCAGGCAGTAAGGGAAGCCTAATAACACTTGTTCCTCCGCTGCTATCAGTTAGGGGCTTCAATCCGGTCTCGTTTCGTAAATCCGCTGTAGTTTCAAGGAATTCCGATGAAAGTTTTTTGTTCAATCTATGAGGAAGAATTTGCAGCCTCGGGTTAAGCTTAGTACTTGAGTTTTCTGCATCCAACTGATAACTTTTGACAAGCTTCAGCTGGCGGGTGATTATTTCGGAACGTCTCGGAAGAAGTTCGACGAGTTCACCACCGGGAATAACAATATACTCAATCGCTAGATGAACCTCCTACAAAAATACAAAAGGAGAAGTTGATTAACAAGAACATCATCAAGTGTAGATAATGGGGTTTTTGATTTTCTGGAATTAGAAAGTTGCAACAGAACATTGCTATATACCACAAAAATAATGTTTATTCTTGATTTCTTCGACGGCAAGCCAATATGAGCTGCTGAGCAATCAGGTCGAGCCTAGGGATCTTGAGAAAACATATGAACGTTGTGTTCCTCTGTTTCCTCAAAAATCCCAGCCTTGAAATGACCGCTGAGTAGCTTATTCCGTTGGCCGTCAAAGAACATCGACACAGATTATAATCTCGAGTATTCCTTATGAATTGCAATATAAATGCACTTTCACCAACAAGATTGCAAGAGTAACATTATTTTTGGAACCATTCGAGATGAAACAAGGGAAAGATGTAGCACCTCTAAGGCATCGATCTCTTCCAAGGTGGATTTTCGTTTCGGAGCATCATCTTTGATCCCAATATCGGAAGAATTTCAGTTCTCGATGGTATCTGACTGCAATCCATAAAAAGAAACCTTGATATACATTGAACACACTGTGTATAGCGCCATCACTTTTTGCTAGTGGGTATGGTAAACCTCTGTTTCTTTTAGGAATAGGAGATCATCTTCATCTTCATCACCAAAATCAATTCCAGCGTGTTTTTCTTCATTTACAAGCAAGTCAGATTGTTCATCTGCCTCATCATAATCAACTTCAGCATTTTCCTTTTCATTAAAAAGCATGTCAGATAGTTCACGATGGTCAATCTTAGTCACTACAGTAGACTTGATAGGAACATTAACTTCAAGCTCCATCTGACGGATTTCGAATAAAGGAGATTTTCCTATCAAACAACAATGGTTCTACTTAAACATCTTCTTATATAAAAAAAAATTGACTTCACTAAATACATGTGAAACGAATATAATCTACTAGCCAGTATAGCATTCGCTGTTGCATCTCTCCATCATCTCCAATCTCATTTGATGTATTTACAATGACGATGCGTTTCATGTGTTCATCTGCCAACATTCTAGCTATTTCTCTACAACAAAACAACGATTTTATCGGATCAGAAATTCTGTACCCAAGAAAACTAACAATTTTTTTTATATCAAATGTCTAAATGAAGATAACCAATTGATTGAATTCAACAAAGTTCTTTCAAGAACATTCAGTAAACTCAAGTAATAGATCAATTACACTGATGTAAGATCAGACAACATTAAAATTAAGAAACTTCGTGTTAATAAAATCGAATCCAATCTAAACAAAAGAGCTGTTCCTCCCACAAAGAGATAATATTTAATTATCAATCATTCAACAGATGTTAACCATGCTTGCAACTTAAAGCTAAACAAAAAGTATAGTAGCTCTCCATTAAAAACATGATTTGCTATAAAAAGAATCATATTTAAAGATCAAAACCTTCCATAACGTCAATAAAAAAAAGCATTATTTACAATATAATATGATATATCATATATATGAAAGTCAAATCTCAATCAAAATATCATTTGGTAAACAGAAAACAAAAATTCAAATCTGAAGCTTAATCTAGTTGGTTGAACGACCATCCTTTATCAGTGATTCGAGTCCATCATCTACGATCCTTTTCTACCTCGAACTGTAAAAGAAAGTTGAACGGAATTCAAATTAGACCTCACTAGTTCAATTATATTTAAAATTTTGGTGATTTTTACTTTCATCGCTTGACAGTTTGGCCGAGTGGTCTAAGGCGCCAGATTTAGGCTCTGGTCCGAAAGGGCGTGGGTTCAAATCCCACAGCTGTCAACTCCTCGTCATTTTTAACTAACAACTCGCACTTGGGTTTAGCCAATAACCAGTTTCAAACATTTTAAACTTGAATGACCTAATTGAAAACTTTTAATCGGGTGATTTTGTGTGTAGTTTACCTTTTATATTTAAGGGTAAACTACTCTAATGGTCACTATACTTTTAGGCCATTTTCATCTTGGTCGCCAAAATCAAAAACTTCCATTAGAATGTATATCGATAAGGAAAATTTCTATTCCGGTCATGGGATCATTAAATCATTAGCAATGACTGACTTTACACGTTCACATCTTAACAACAATTAAGTCAACATGCTTACATGTCATTTTATTTAATATATTGATATCATTTAATAAGATAATAAAATTTGTCACCGTCTTAATAAAAAAATTAAAAACATAAAAAATGACCTTTTGATGAAGGTGGAATTCAAACCAAGGATCCCTTATGAAAGGAGTCCAAAACTTAATTATTTAGTCAAATTTTAACTTTATATATTTTTCATAAAATAAGAATAGAATATTAGCCTTGGACCATGTAAAATATACGAAGAATAGGTACAATGTCTCTATTTTTTCCTTCACAGGACATCAAGTTTTTTTATTTTATTATTATTTAAATTAACATTGATATATTTAGATCAGGTCAAGTTTTAAAAGTCTTAATATTTAGTGTAGATGATTGTTTCACCTCTTTGAAGTCGATGACATAAATAACAAGTCTCAAATTTGTTCATTATAAATGTTATGAACACTAACATATATGTTATGCATAAAAACTCTGGTCAGTATCTTAAAATGATGACATACATTGTTATCATATTTAAACAATATTAATTTATTAAAGAAAATGATATGTAGGTAGGTATGTTGAATCAATTGTTGTTGACATGTGAACGTGTCATATCAGTATCGTTAATGGTTTAATGATACAATGATCGATATAAAAGTTTTAACTAAAGATAGTGACTACAATAAAAGTTTTTTAATTTTTGTGTTGAATGTAAACGAGACCTAAACGTCTGGTGACTGTTAATGTATTTTACCTTTTTATATTGAATATGCAATGACTTTTACATGTGAGGATTTGATCAAGTTGAGTATAAAAATTTCGAGTTATTCGAGCTAACGAATCCTATTTCATAACTCTAATTTTATTTGAAAATTTTTCGAGTTGAATCGAGTTTATAAAATTTGAGTTGAGTCGAGTTGTTATAGTTTCCATTTAAATTTAAATGTAAATATTTATAATATTATTCTACTACTATTTGATTCAAATTTAAATAATTTTTTATAACCACTAATTATTAAAAATTTTAAGTTATTCAAGTTTTATTTTATAACTGGACTCGAATTTCAAACATTTTTAAATCGAGTAAAATTTATGAAATTACAATTTAAAATCAATTTAAGTTAAAAAATTCAAATAAAAAATATTAATTTTTTAAATTGAATCGAATTTTACTGTCTACCTAAGTTAATGAATTTAAACACCGCGAATTCGGGGTAAGAAATGTCACTACTTCTGCTAGAAATGCAAATCGATTAGTGGATTTATAGTAATCCTAAAATCTGTCTTCTGAAATCTCAGGATTCTAAAAACTGGCGCAACGGGTTATCTTGGTGGAAGGCTGTGCCACGCTCCGGTGGACTGCGGCTAAACCATCCGAGCGTTGCTCCCGCTCACCATCGACCTCTCCGGACTTCATCTTCACCCACCAATGGAGCTTCTCTGGAACTCGCCGAAGGCAACGTCACCGACTACTCATCCCTTCTAGATGCATGCATGGCTCCGACTGCGACATCATCTTCCACGTTGCTGCCTTCCCGATCCTTCAGCTTCGTCTCCGTAAGCTAAAATCAAATCTCATTTTCACACTTAATAACTCCTCTTATATATGTGTACTGACAAGCTGCCATCAAATTGTTCGATAAAAGTTCAATGTTGATGGTCCTCGCAAGCTTACCGCCGACAATGTTGTTGCTCAAATTAGTAAGAAAATTCTTTCAAATTTCGTATATATCTCTTCATAACCTGTTTTAATTTTATTAATTGAAATATATGCAATTGTGCTTACTAAGATAATTGACCGGTTTAATTGGAGATCACCTGGTTACATATGTCATGGGAATGATAAGTTTCTTTCAGTCATGTTGGCCGTGAAAAAAGGGTCGACTAGGGGAGAATTATTTCCATACTAGATTATGAGATTCTTAAGAGAAGACGGAAATCATTGGAAGTCTAAAGTGGATGCATTGAAAGCTATGATGCAGGATCTTAATGCAGAGGATTCCTTCTTTTGTTTCTACAGCTTCTGAAGCTGCTGTAAGTTTCCCTCGATTTCCTCGTTCTTTTGTTCATTCATTAGTTAGAATTGTGCATTAGTCTGTTATATTTTTCTTGTGCCTAGTCTTTAAATGTTACTGTTATTTTGGGTTTTCTTCTTGCAGCTGAAGATTATAAAATAGTTTTTCAGTTTTTGGCTTAGTTTAGATAGTCATAATTCATTTTTGAACAGCCTTTTCAAACATAGTACGCTAGATTCTCTATTAAGTTTGATGCTGAAAGTGATTCAAAAATAGTTTGGAAAATGGCTATTATGGTATGGACAATAGTGCGTCGAATGACTCGAGTGAAAAAATTAACGCCGTGGTTAATTGTCTTGAATTGTTCATTTCCAAAAGTTATAGGGACTATATTTCTCTTCCTTTTTTTGAGATGGATCAATTTGCCCCAATTTTGAAATTGAGAAGATCTAAAAAGTTTTTTTTTTTGTTACCAGAGTATGTTTATATCAAATATGTTTTTCATCGCGTAATTGTATAAACAAAATACGGTTTCCCTGTATTTAACAAATATTTGTAGGTTCTCGACAGCGTAGAAAAGATGGACCTAAAACATTTCAGGCCTGTTGAACCATTGGGATCAGGTAACACTGGATGGAAACCACTTCTTTGTCTTTTGTAATTTCTTGACATACTTTGAACAAATTTATATTTGGATTATGGATAAATTAATTGATTAAGGTGAATTAATATGTGTGTATAATGTGAATTAGGCTTGTGTTTGTATTTATGTCGAAGAGTTGTGTAGAATTTGTTCTTTGTTGAATAATACTTTGGAATAGATTCTTATTGACTAGTTACATAGATAAATCATTTGTTCTGTAGGTGTCTAGCTGGTCCATTAATCTTCGCCTTGTTTCTGAAGATGTCAGATAAAAAATAGAGAATATGATTTTCTCTTCCGACGGCTTCATCTACTTCTAAAAGTTTGGCCGAGTGTATAAGGCACCAGATTTAGGCTCTGGTCCGAAAGGGCGTGGGTTTCAAATCCCACAGCTGTCAAATGTTTCCTTATTGAAAGGAGTTGTCTAGTTTAATTTTTTTTCAAGTTTATTAAGTCTTAGTTTAGTGGTGTACCATGTCTTGTGGCTGTAGTTTAGTGGTAAGAATTCTACGTTGTGGCCGTAGAGACCTGGGCTCGAATCCCAGCAGCCACATAATTTTAGTTTTTCCTTTTATCTTTGTGGTTCTACTGTGAGGATCGGTTGAGAATAAGATGACCTTATTGGGTTCTTTGATCTTTCAATCCGAGCACGAATATGAAATCCAATGACCATCATATTTTTCATTTTCAGCTTCCTCATATAAGGTATGGAAGTTAAGGGTAAGGTACTAATGTTTATTGTATGTATATTTTATGCAAGAATTGATGTTGGATACATTGTTCATGAAGTGCTGAAAACGATGTGTTTTAGGTTTTTGTTAAATATGAAGAGTTGGAGATGTAGGACTTGGGATACAATGACTTTAGGCCTTCGGGTATACCTTTGTTAACTTCAGATGTAGAGCAATTGCTGCTAATGGATATTTTTTGACACGTTGACCATTTCTATGCTAACTTCAGTGCCTTCGGGTAGCTTCTGGCCAACCACAACTACATATGAATTTTTTTTAATGAGGAGATGAACTACCAAAACATTTGGAACCACTCTTTGCTTTCTTTTCCAACCATATCCCATCAGTAATCAACAACCTCAGAGACCTCGTTCCCTGCTTCCACCCTATATATATCCCCCCAAACAACTCAAAGTCTCAAACCATTAGACAGAACAACCACCTTCCTTTTCTGCAGGGTTCCAAATCTCCATAAATGGCCTCTTCCAATTGTTTTGTTTTATCCATTTTCATGGCTCTGTCATTGTTGAACATCAATGTTGGGCTAGCAGCTCGTCATCTCCTCCATATGCCACCATCTTTGCCTGGAGTAACGTTGCCACCATTGCCATCTATCCCCAATCTCCCACAACCGACATTGCCAACATTGCCTACAATGCAACCATCGTTGCCCAAGCCTGGAGCTCTACCTCCACTTCCTAGCAGGCCAACATTGCCTACCATGCCATCCATCCCTCCACTCCCTAGCATGCCGACAATGCCAACCATGTCATCCATCCCTCCGCTTCCTACCATGCCATCCATCCCCACAATACCAACTACAATCCCATTCTTCTCGCCACCTCCTTCAAAAACTAGCCCTTGAAAGTTGAAACCGTTCACTCATACAGAGAGTTTGGACTATGTGTCTTTTGCTTTGGTGTGGTTGTTCCTTTAAATATTAATCTTGTATCACCTCGGGATTATGTAGGAAGATTTTAGTCATTTGTTTCTTTGCATTGTACTTGTGTATTTCTTGTGTTGTTCTTGTATGATCAGAAGTCACTTTGATTTATTTATATAGAATACTCTAATAACAATGTATCTATCATTTCCACTTTGATCTATTTTATCCTTTCATACGACCATTCATAACTTGTGTGCCACATCCTAGAGAAGTAAAGGAATGGTTAGAAGTGCAGGCAACAATTCATGTGTTTCCTTTACTAAAAGTATTGAAAACTATAGATTGTCACTAAATGAGTGTAATTTCTTCTCATTATTAGATGGTGCAAGGAGTTAAGTTGGAGATAGGATTAACTATTTCCCTCTGGGAATAATGAATCGTGACAATTTATGTGAAATGGAAGAGGGACTTGTTGCGTCCACATGTGCAGAAAATGAATTTGTAAGAGTAGAGATTATATATTTTCTCCAACATCACAGCTCAAATTCCAGCAGCCAGGATTATGTAGTTTTTGTCATTTTATTTTCTTTTTGGTTCTCGGTTTTTAATCAAAGTTGCATTCCTGCATGCTTTGAGGAGTGAGGAGTGCTGGGGAATAAGATGACCTTTCTGGTTCTCTCCTTGTCTGATGTTTCAATGTGAACAGGTATCCAAGCATCTTATTAACATTTTGACAGCAGTTGTATGTTACATGGATTCTAGTGAAAGCACACACTTGGTTTGTTCTAATGTTTCTTCTAGAAACATCGATCACAATCCCTCGTCTTTCTTTTCCATTATCATTTCTTTGAGCTTGGTGGATTCTATGTCAAAAGTTTTTCTTACGAAAGTGATTAATTGCTATGTCAAGTTTCTATCTAACGGGGTGTCTAGTTAATATAATTTTAGTTTTTAATTTTATTATGCCTAGTTCAGGCCGGGACAAACGCCACCCTTTGATTTGACTCTTGAGATAGAATTACCATGTTCAAATTTTGCTTTTCCACGATAATATACCAATTACATTTACGCATGACTGAAGATATTTGGTTGACAACTTGAGATGTATGCTTTCTTGGCAGTCGTATTTTATTGGACTAAGGGCTTCTAAAAACAATGTTTTAAAAATATATCCATAAAGAAAAGCAACATCTTGTGGCTGTAGTTTAGTGGTAAGAATTCTATGTTATGGCCGTAGAGACCTGGGTTGGAATCCCACATTCACATAATTTTAGCTTTTTTCTTTATCTTTGTGGTTCTACTGTGAGGATCGGTGGAGAATAAGATGACCTTTTTGGATTCTTTGATCTTTCAATCGTTGATCTTTTGTGATTCTACTCCGAGGATAGGTGGGGAATAAGAAGACCATTTTGGGGTTGTTTGATCTTTTGTTGTGAGCACGAATATAAAATGCAATGACCATCACATATTTGTTCACTGTGATATTTATTTTCAGCTTCCTCATATAAGGTATGGAAGTTAAGGGTAAGGTTTATTGTATGTATAATTTATACAAGAACTAATACAGGACACATTGCACATGAAGTGCTGAAAACAATGTGGTTTAGGTTTTGTTAGATATGAAGAGTTGGAGATGTAGGATTTGTGATGCAATGACTGTTGGCCTTAGGGTATACCTTTGTTAACTTCAAATGTGGAGCAATTGAGTTAAAATTATGGCCTGCTAATACATTTTGTTTAACCATTTGTATGCTAACTTCAGGTAGCTTCTGCCAACAACAACTACATTTGACGATTTTTTTAATGAGATGAACTACCAAAACATTTAGAACCACTCTGTGCTTTCTTTTCCAACCATATACCATTAGTAATCAACAACCTCAGAGACCACGTTCCCTGCTTCCAGCCTATAAATATATCCCCACAAACAACTCAAAGTCCCAAACCATTAGACAGAACAACAACCTTCCTTTACTGCAGGGTTCCAAATCTCCAGAAATGGCCTCTTCCAATTGTTTTGTTTTAGCCATTTTCATGGCTCTGTCATTGTTGAACATCAATGTTGGGTTAGAAGCTCGTCATATCCTCCAGATGCCACCAGCTTTGCCCGGAGTAACGTTGCCACCATTGCCATCTATCCCCAATCCCCCACAACCGACATTGCCGACAACGCAGCCATCGTTAACCAAGCCTGGAGCTCTACCTCCATTTCCTAGCATGCCAACATTGCCTACCATGCCATCCATCCCTCCGCTTCCTAGCATGCCAACATTGCCATCCATCCCCACAATACCAACTACCATCCCATTCTTCTCGCCACCTCCTTCAAAAACTAGCCCTTGACTCATACAGAGAGTTTGAACTATGTGTGGTCTGTGTTCCTTTAAATATTAATCTTGTATTATCACCTGGGGATTATGTTTCAGGATTGTAGCCATTTGTTTCCTTACATTATACTTGTGTGTTTCTTGTGTTGTTCTTGTATGATCACAAGTCACTTTGATTTATTTCTGGTTCCCTCGTCTGATGTTTGAATGGGAACAGGTATATAAAAATCCAAGCATCTTATGACAGTAGTTGTATGTTACATGGATTCGAATGAAAGCAAACACTTGGTTTGCTCTAATGTTTCAACTACAAACATTGATCACAATCCCTTGTCTTTCTTTTCCATTTCCATTTCTTTGAGCTCGGTGGAATCTATGTCAATAGTGTTTCTTCAATAGTTTCAAAACGAATTCTTATATTTGTGGTAAACCATGTTTACTATTACTTCCTAATCGATCTGAAGGAATTTTAGTTAGATTATATATTTTGAAATAAACATACTGTTGATTTTTATTCAATCAGTTCAATCGACCACTACACTCTAGTTTCTACAATTTTACTATAAATTTATATAAATTCTTACACATTCATAATCTATCTCGTATAAACTTTGATACATTCTTATATTAATATTATTTTTTAGGTCACACTATATGTATATGTATATGTATATGTATATGTATATGTATATGTATATGTATATGTATATGTATATGTATATGTATATGTATATGTATGTATATGTATATGTATATGTATATGTATATGTATATGTATATGTATATGTATATGTATATGTATGTATATGTATATGTATATGTATATGTATATGTATATGTATATGTATATGTATGTATATGTATATGTATATGTATATGTATGTATATGTATATGTATATGTATATGTATATGTATGTATATGTATATGTATGTATATGTATATGTATATGTATATGTATATGTATATGTATATGTATATGTATATGTATATGTATATGTATATGTATATGTATATGTATATGTATATGTATATGTATATGTATATGTATATGTATATGTATATGTATATGTATATGTATATGTATATGTATATGTATATGTATATGTATATGTATATGTATATGTATATGTATATGTATATGTATATGTATATGTATATGTATATGTATATGCATATCCCTCCACAAGAAATCAAAAAGGTGTTTATGACATGTTTTTAAACAATGTTATGCCCAAAGCCAACACAAAATCAGCCTTCACATGGAATACACGAGCAATGTTCCATCTCCCTTATCTCAAAACTGGCTGCTCATCACCCACATTCCCATATATATCATAAATCCTGCATAAAAATATACACACCCAGGTATCATTGTTTTATAATTTTTAATTAAATAAATATTTACTAAATAAATATTATATGTATTAATTAAAATAAAATTAGAGAGAAAAGATACCTGCCAATGCATCTGCTAATGAAAGTGACATTGTATCGGAGGTTGAGTTTTCTGTCAAAAAAATTAGATTACGATGTTAACATTTTTAAAATTTTGGGGTATTAATCTACATCCAATGGTACCAATGAGTGCACATAACATATATTTCTTACCTGAATCACAATTGGTGGTGGAATTGAAGCTCCGGCACATGCACAACTGCTTAACCCCGTCGGTTTCGAATCCACATGCTCCACCGGTGGCCTCGCAAGCTCTGCAGAACTCGTCGTTGCCTTGAACCGAGTACTTCACTCGAATCCCATAGGACCACCCACCAGCCCCATCAACTTTCAACGGTGCTAGACTATATGCACTGCTGTACCCTTCACACTGTAGTCTGCTCAAATTTATAGCCTTGATTGACTCGAACGCCACCGCACAACACTCCGGTGGAGCAGACCCGTAACCCGAACCTAACGTCTTATGCCCCACCATCCTCCACGCCGGGCAGTCGTAGTATTCCTCACATCCCATCCCTGATACATTCCTACAAGGCAGGTGCTGTCCGGGGAAACCCTGGAACACCGGTGATTCGGCCGAGCAACCTATGAGCATGAACACGTTGTCTGGCGTTGGATTGAAATACGGCGCCCGCCATTTCTCTACCGCGAAACCGTTGCCTCGACCACCTAGCGCGATGTTGTCGCATGTGGACATGTGGGGGTCGTGTAACGTGAGTGCTTGATAAGCATAGTCTATGTCTAGGACCCTGTATGACCCGGAACTGATGTGGAACATTAGAACATCGTTCATGCAGAACAAGAGGTCTTTGAAACCGGGATGGCCGCAGCCATATTTGAGAGAAAACGGATAATCCAAGGTGATATTTCCGCAGTAGGATCGACACGAGCTGGCTCGACTGGTGGCTAGTAATGCTAGGAAGCTCAAACAAAATGTGTTACATATGAGCAAAGTCATGGCTAGCAGAGAAATTGTCAGGAAATTGCATTGGATTGGAAATTTAAGGTTTTGGGGGGGGGGCAATAGTACGGAGGAGGAAGGAGTGATACCTTGCTTGGAGAGTAGATGAATGGCAGGAGACCCTTTATTCACATGGTGTGTTTTGCTTTTGTGAGGAATGACTCTGCTAACTTTAGTTTGCTTTTTAAGTTGGCAGATACAGAAAAGTTGCTGTCGGATTTACTTTATCATCAAGGAATATTGTAAGTAACTTTAGTTATTTTCAATACTTGTTGATGGGTTTGCTTTATTAGTATAGATAATGGATTTGCTATTTTACTCGCATATATATCTCGACGTCAAGGTCATCGGGCGCCGGACGACGTGAATCCGATAAAGAGAGTTGACAGTTGCTGTTTGTTTCGTGGAGTTTCACAAATCTATTCCGATAAAGAATGAAGAGATAAAAGGGAAGACGATCAAGTAGTTAGAAGCAAGGACGGAAGTAAGATTTTATGTCCGATGGTGAACTTATAAAATTTTAAGAGAAGACGAAATTATAAATTTTAGGAAATGAAGACATATTTTCAATTAGAAAATACAAAGAGTATATCTATAATATATAGGAATTTTGAAATTTTTTAGGTATGTCCCTCGGTCCATCTCTAGCTAGAAGTTGAGCTAGCCAAGTCCGGAGGTGTATGAAAAGAAACTAATGGAGTTTAGTAAGCAATTAGAAGATGAGCACACCAGGTTTGAAGGTGCTCAAGAACAAATGGATTTGGCAAACATGCTGCTAAAAGATTATCAAAACTCGATGCAGGTTAAGCTTCTGCTGCAATTGAAATGCTTTTTCCTTCCATTATTGTGCTTGCACATAATTTACCTGCGCTCTTAGATGTGGTTCAGTTTCTGAAATCTTTATGCCCTATTCTCTTGTTTTTCATGAAATCAATGAAGTGAGATTGAAGATAGAAGAAATGTGATCGGCTTCGCTGAAATCGAACAAATGCGTTTCAGGGTCAGATGCATCCGGGATGGCACTAGGATGTACCTACATTATGAAGCCCTGCAATTTGTTTATGCATCTATATGTTACTACATCATCGACTGGGTAGTCCATTTCTAACTTTTTTTTATTAGTACGGGTGATTATAAGGTAGTATTCATTTATAATATTTCTTAACAATTAACAAAACACACACTCTACAGACGATGTTGCTCGAACCTAGAATCTCAAGGGAGAATAACACTGCTTTTAATTATTAAGTCCGCTCAATGGATTCAGGTAGTCGATTTCAACTATATTATTTGGTACCGTTGACTAAATATTATAGTATTTGGTTTATTTTAATGTTTCTGCTTTAATTCCTTAAATTATTTGATCTTGGTGTTGTCTTTGACGAAGTTGGGAAATAAAATAAAAAATTTAAAACTATTTTGTTGATGTAAACTTTCATCGCTTGACAGTTTGGACGAGTAGTCTAAGGCGCCAGATTTAGGCTGTGGTCCCAACGGGCGTGTGTTCAAATAATTTAAGTTGTAAATTATATTCTTTAATTTAAGTTGTAATTTACGATTTTATCTAGGTGGAATTAGCTTTCTTTCTCTTAATACGTTTGAGATTTAAGGTTTAATGGTAAAATAAGAAATATAATAAAAAGTTGATTTGATATCAAAGAACAAAACAATCAAATAATATTCATACTGTTACATATATATATATATATGAAAATATATAATCATCATCTCCAGACATTTACACAACTAAACCCCATCTGTCTCACTTTCTCCATTGCTTTTACCCAATTTGCATTCACTTCCTTCCAACCATTGTTCCAATTTAGATTCTTTATCCGCCTTGAATTCGTCGTAGTTTTCTGACACGAACAATAAACTATCACCAGAAAGTTTGGCATCGTCCTCAGTTCCACCCTTCACTTCTTCATGGAGTTTATCTGCCAGTAGACATCGAACTTCAGTTTCTATCGGTCCCTTGGACTCGAGTTCTGGCCATTTGATATTGCTCGCCTTCTCCCTTGTTATCTCATCAGGAATTGAACCAATGCTAGCAGATGCAGACGGCACTGGTGGAGCAGGACATCGAATTGGCTTATGAGGCTCAGATTCTATCGTTCTCTTGGACTCGAGTTCTGGCCAATTAAAATCGCTTGCCTTCTCCCTTGTTATCTCATCAGGAATTGAACCAATGCTAGCAGATGCAGGCGGTACCGATGGAGCAGGACATCGAACCGACTTCTGAGGCTCTGTTGCACTTGGTTCCTTGGACTCGAATTGCAACCACTTAAAACTGCTCGCCTTCTCTCTTGCCGATTTGAATAGGGTTGAAAAATAGTTACTTCCATCCTGCTGCTGGACATCTACAGAACCATAACTCCATGATATCGGTCCCCAAGATCTAGTCCTTGTTATGGTAAAGCCCGAATCAAGACTGTGGACCAATCCTTGCTTCAGTTTCTCATCCGATGATATTAACATTAGCGAATTCGCAATGTCCTTGATCATCTCGTCGACAATGGGGAAGCCACATTCCTTCATCGTCCTCACCATGGTGATCGAATCTTCCGAGTCCTCCGAATGCAAACTCGCTTCCCAGGACTTCTCCGCAACTCGATTACTGAGATCAATGACGTTCGGAACCGCATCCTGCGTGTGCTTTTGAACATACAAAAGACCGAGCGACGGTTCGTTCGCGATGTACTTGATCATCTCTGCAAGGGATTCGGTTATCTCCACGAAGCCGTCCACGGTGGAGAATCCATTCATCTTGTTGAAGGTGAACCACAGTTCATCACTGGTTTGTCAACAATCTCAAAAAAACATTTTGAAATGTAGGGCTTGATTTCATAGTTTACAATTTGTTTCTTCATGCAATGGACTCGAGCATAAATTCTTCGAAATCACTCATAATGCTAACCAAGCAAAAATAAACAGACAACTCAATAGACTAAACAACAGGCATCAGGCATTGAAATCAATACCCACATCGAAACAACGAAAAATAACAAAAACCCAGAAATCAAAATGTATTATCGACTTTGATTTTGTTCAATTAAAACAAAAAAGAGAGGAGGGGAATCACTTACCAGAAAACCCTCTTGAAGAACAGTTAAAATTTGCCAAAGAAAGAAAAAAACGATCTTCGAAGTTAGAGATTCAAAACTTCAAACTTGGAGCGTAGAGAGGCATTATTGATTTGGATTTTTCTTGTATTTACTCAGGAGAGTGGGATATGACATCCATGGACAAAAGGGAATTTTGGTTTTTGTCGCTTTCTTCAAATCCATCGTTGTCTACACTTCACTGCTCATCTGTAGTGAGTCGTTTTCGGATCTCATATCCATATTTTCAACTTTAAATGATATTTTATAAATATTTTAGGGTAAGCTGTTTAACTATATGGTCAAAAATCATTTTAACATTTAACTAGATAAGTGACGTGGTCATTAAAATATTTTGATATAATTATACAGTTAGTTCCTGTTACTTATATATATATTTTTTAATTTGATCATAATTGTAATAAATTAAAATAAATGTAATCCTCAAATCAGGAGGTGTTATGTGTCATTAGTGACACCTATCATGGCACGTGTAATTAAAATAAATTTATTTTAATTTATTATAATTAGACTAAATTAAAAGAATATATAAGTAATAGGGACTAATTGTGTAATTATATCAAAATATTTTAACGGCAACATCATCTTCTCCGTTAAATGTTAACGGTAGATGGCTTGATTGAAATATTTAAATAGTTGGATGGTTTGATTGATCAATTGAAACATTGGTAGTCAAAATGATTTTTAACCACAATTGAGTGGTCACCCGTATAGTTTACCCAATATTTTATATTAAACCATGATAGTAATGATGTAATATACGTTACGTCATTTAAAATAATTGTATGTTATGTGTCGTAACCGGTTTTCGTCCGGGCACGAAATATTTACTTGACGGGAAAAGTGATGTGAATAAATGGTTTTGAAAATAATTTGGGAGTCGCCATCGGCCTTTTGGGTCAGGTAGGTCGAATACCTAAAAAATATCTTTTAAAAGAGTTTTTAAGAAAACATCAATTAAAATATAAATTGATCTGCGTTTTAACCAAAAATTCGTTCTTTTTAATAATAAAAAGGGATTCGTGGTCGGTTACGTTTAGGGAAGGATTAGCACCCCTACAACGCCCAAAATTGGTACTTTTTAATTATAAATTGTCTCTATTATTAGAAATTTAAAAATTCAAAATATATTTAATTTATAATCCTATTTAATTTAAATTTATTATTATAATTTTAAGAAAATATATTAATATATATCTTTATTTTTATAAATAAGATATTTATTTACTTAGAAATATCAGAAAAGGGCTTCTAGTTGCTTTAAGACAGCTCCTTTCTTAATATTAATAAATAAATAAATGTTAATAAAACATTTATCTAAAAAATAATTAAAATATATTAATATATGATTTATAAAAATAGGACATTTATTTATTTAATAATATCAGAAAAGGACTTCTATGTATTTTAAGACAGTTCTTTTCTTAGATATTAAAAAATAAATACATATCAAAATATGTTTTATTTTTCTTAAAAGTAATTTATAAAATTAAATTTATAAAATAGGATTTTTATTTAATAAACAAATAGAATAAATAAATAAATATTATATATATATTTATATAACTTAATAATAATAATAAAATAATCATGAAGATAATAATTTAAACATATATCAAAAGTAATAATAAAATAAAATAATAATAATTAAAATGAAAGAAAATAAAAGTAATAATATTAAAATTATTGGATCATATTCATAAATATATGAACTTAAAATGTAAAAATAATAAAACTTATGGTTAAAATTAAGATCATATAAAATTTAATGATCAAATTATAAAATATAAATATTTAAGAGACATGGTTAGAATTATCATAAAATATAAATACTTGTAGTATAATTAGCCATTAATTATTTAATAGGTGATTAAAATAGAAATATTAAAATTATTAGGGATTAAATGTGATATTTATCCTAAATATATTATTTAATACTGGTAAGGACTAAAACATAATAAAATAAAATTCAAAGACTGAATTAAAATGTTCAGAAATTAATTTCAGTGACTAAAATGAATAATTATAAAACTTGGATGGCTACGAAAAGGGTTTAGCCATGCGCAAAATTATAGATATACCCCTCCTAAAACGACGTCGTTTGAGGAGGGGTATAAATCCCCAAACGGCTGGCCCGAAGGGCTAGCTCTCTCATTCTCTTTTCTCCCTTCTCTCTCTCAAACGAGAGAAATTTTTTTCTCTCGCTTCTCTCTAAGTTTCCCTCGCCGGAGGGAAACCGGCCACCGTTGGCCACCTTGTTCCGGCGTCGGTGACCGCCGCCGGCCACCGACTATGGTGGCCGAAAAATCTCAAAATACATAAAAATAAAAGTCTCACTCTCCTTATTCCGATTTTGAGCCTTTTTATTCCTAAAAGTCTCTCATTCGGCCTAGATCTAGGCTTTTACCTTCGGTTTTTGGTGGTTGTACGGTGGTTTGGAGACTCCTACAAGGGTAAACTGCTCCACTCTCTTCTCTTTTCTTTTATTTTTTTATACTGGTTGTTGTGTTTTTCGACTTTACTGTGGTTGCTCTCGATCTTTGTTGCTGTTGCGTTCCTCGGTTTTTTCCCCCTTCTCTCGTCTTGCAGGTGATGGCTTTATAGCCTCGATGAGGCTCTCGTCGGACCGGTTACAAGGGTGTAAGGCTCGGTGAGTCACCAAAGCTATGCTGGTGACTCACCATAGAGGCGACGTGTACGGCTGTTACCATGGCAGCAAAGCTTCTGGAGGCTTCTGGCGAGGGCGTGGCAATGGGCGTCGACACGGAGGAGGTGGCGACAGCGGCGGCCGCGTGGTCCCTAGGGTATTATAACCCTAGGGTTTCTTGTTGTAAAACTTTGGACCGTTGGATCTTGCCAGATCCAACGGTGGAGATCGTCTGGCGGCTGGGGATGAGATGGAAACCCTAAAAGGGTTCTGCTAGTCCTGGACTAGATTGGGCCGATTTTGGTTGTGTAAAACGGGCCTGATTATTGGGCTCCGGGTTTTGTAATTATTTATTAAATAATAATAATATATAATATATAATATTAATAATAAATAATAATACTAATAATAATAATTTTAATAATAATAATAAATTTAAATGAAAAAATTGATGTCTACAGCTGCCCCTCTTTGCTCATCCTTGTGTTAACAAGAATAGAGCAAAGACGAAAAAGACAATAATTTTTTTCATTTGGCTTCCCTTGATTATGATGAGAATGTTGAAATAATTCTTCTTTGGGATTAGCTCTTCTCATTATGAACTTTTCCGCTGGGGATGATGTTGACATATTTCCTTCTGTGATAGAGTCATTCAAAAGGTTGAATAAGTTCTTCTCATTCAGATGAATTATTCTCATTATGAACACTTTTGGAAAAGCTGATCCATCAGATGATGGATTTGAGCAAAAGGTTGAACAAATTCTTCTCATTATGAATTTCTTCTTCCTTCTTCAGATGAGTTCTTCTCATTATGAACTTTTTCTGGAAAAACTGATCCATCAGATGATGGATTTGAGCAAAAGGTTGAACAAATTCTTCTCATTATGAATTTCTTCTCATTATGAATTTCTTCTTCCTTCTTCAGATAAGTTCTTCTCATTATGAACTTTTTCTGGAAAAGCTGATCCATCAGATGATGGATTTGAGCAAAAGGTTAAACAAATTCTTCTCATTATGAATTTCTTCTTCATTCTTCAGATAAGTTCTTCTCATTATGAACTTTTTCTGGAAAAGCTGATCCATCAGATGATGGATTTGAGCAAAAGGTTGAACAAATTCTTCTCATTATGAATTTCTTCTTCCTTCTTCAGATGAGTTCTTCTCATTATGAACTTTTTCTGGAAAAACTGATCCATCAGATGATGGATTTGAGCAAAAGGTTGAACAAATTCTTCTCATTATGAATTTCTTCTTCCTTCTTCAGATGAGTTCTTCTCATTATGAACTTTTTCTGGAAAAGCTGATCCATCAGATGATGGATTTGAGCAAAAGGTTGAACAAATTCTTCTCATTATGAATTTCTTCTTCCTTCTTCAGATGAGTTCTTCTCATTATGAACTTTTTCTGGAAAAGCTGATCCATCAGATGGATTTGAGCAAAAGGTTGAACAAATTCTTCTCATTATGAATTTCTTCTTCCTTCTTCAGATGAGTTCTTCTCATTATGAACTTTTTCTGGAAAAACTGATCCATCAGATGATGGATTTGAATCTTTGCTAAAATTTTTGAAATTTCTGTCAAATATTCAACATGGATAAAATGAATGAAAATGCTCCTATTTTGCAAATGTCTAAATATGATGCATGAATGTTGATGCAATCTTCATTTGACTTCAAAATGGTGAACTCGGTTTTCCTCCACTTCATCATTTATTGCCAGGGTTACCTCTGGATATTAGTGTAGCAACTTATGCTATCAAGCTTGCATTTCTGAAGAACCATCTGATCAACTTGTATCTTTATGTATTCTTTGCTTCATGAAAGTTTCAGAAGAATTGTTTCATTTGTGGAACTCTTGTCGTAGTCAGAATTATGACCTTAATGACCCATTTTGTCTTGGATAAAACCAACTTTATTTGTTTGGACTTGTGTAGAAATCCCATAAAGTTTTCATCTTTGAAAAGAGAATCTGTCATCTTTAAAAAGAGAATCTATCATCTTTGAAGAGTGTAGATGTAGATATGCCTGACTCAACAGGAATTAATTAAGAGAGTAGAGTCTGTTCTAATTTGACTCTTGAAACATATCACAAGGAGGATTTATTCCAATTCCTTTCATGTCTCCACATCTAATTGGATCTCGAACAAAGCAACTCAAACCATATCATGTAAAGATGTTTAACAACAACCTATTGTTTGATCTTAGTTGGCTCCAATAGTTTCTTGTTGTTAAAATTTCAGCTCTCATTCTGTGGAAAGAAATCTTCATCATATCTCAACTTCTAATCTTGGGGTTGAAGAAGACAGACTTCATCTTGGATCAAAAATGGAAACCATATGATCACAATATTGGTTCAGCACCATAATCACTGGTTCATAAAACATTTGACAATACATTCATCTTTT